AAGGATGGATGGATGGATGTTTGCTACTTTTTAATGCAAAAACTATTAAACGGATTTCAATGAAATTTGGTAAACATGAGTTATATTCTAACATAGCACACATGATACTTTATGTACTGATTCGTGTAGACAAAGCTGCGGCAAATAACAAATAGGACATAATTATGTTGAAGGTAATTTATGGATACAATTAACTCCGATAGGACTTTTCAGCAGTTTTTAGCAGTAAGTAACAGTATTGAGAATTGTTTAATAACCATTTCTCGTACATTAAATTTTTATTGATTTTATAAAAAAACCTTCCCAAAATTAATTATTGTTCATCGATATATGATATAAAATAGTTACCTCACTAATAATCAGAGCTTTTATAACTGTTTAACAAATCGGCGTGTAAAGACTGCCGGGTTGCCGGCCACCCGCTGAGCGCTTAATCACTTAACACTCACCGGATTAACGAAAATTTATTGTACAAAAATATCCCTGTATATGTAACTAATGCTAAACTTTTTGACGTAGGCAATACAAACATATATAAAATATATTATGTCATTGTTTGTTCTATAGTTAAAAATAAAACAGTAATTTATTATGTTAAAATATAAAAAGATGGTCATCTTTTTTTATATATTGCCCTTGCAAGGTATTACAAGATAAATTATGTGATGTTCATACACTATACGTGTGTAAAAATACTGAACACTGAAGCAATCAACTTATAGTTAAAAAAATAAAATGAATCTCATTTACATTTGAACATACGAATATGTGTCTATTTGGAATAGGAATTATTGTTGCTTTACCTTATTACCCGATAAAAAAAAAAAACAAGGAAGAAATATAATTAAATAATGAATACGTGAATTTACTTAATAAAAAAAAATTACTTGAAGCAAATATCGTAACATACTTGGCTATAAAATGAACATGTCTTCCTAAACCACGTAGTAACCGAACAAACAAATCACAGTGAACTTTGCAATGACAAACGTTGACCATCAATCTCGGACACGAGATATGTGTACCCTCAAAAAGACATTAATTCTTACAGGAATGAAATGAGAGAGCAGGCGGACAGGGGACGGCTTGCTTTATACGCGAGCCCCGGAGGCCGGAAAGAAACCCTTTTTCTCAGACGTGAGGTGATATATGGACATAACTTTTATTTATTAAGTCGTAAGATACTATTAATAATTGTGTATACCTATTTGACTTTAGTATGTAGCTAAATATTCATCATCATCATCGTCAGCTGAATATTATTTATTTTAAGAGGGACGCTGCTCCTACCCACGAAACAGGAAGGGGTGGCCTATTCTATGCCAAGACCACACGGCAAATATTATATATATATATATATATATATATATATATATATATATATATATATATATATATATATATATATATATATATATATATATATATATATATATATATATATTAAAGTAATAATGATAATGACAATTTGACAAATATGATTAGACATTATACCTGAAAAGGTATGAAGAAATGAATGTTTGTGATGAGTTATATATAAAAATCCTTCCAAAATTTCACTAGGATAAGTGTCACATTTAATTTCCTATTTTAATTTGTAGAATCCATAATATTAAAATAGTCCATATTAAATAATCTATGTATACATATACTATGTATTCTAAACAACTCTATGAGTTGTTAGAATACATTTTACTTAATTTAGATAAGGTGGTGCTGTATAACAATAATAAATAAACATCACAAATTGAACAAATTATGTTCTGCAATAATAATAATTTATATATTAGGCAATAAATGTTAAATGTCTATATGGCAGTTGCTAAAATTACACAACTAAATTTAAAATATGTTAAAATAGTTTACACTGACTATTGAAAAATAAGTTGTCTCATCCTCATTATTCTTTCGTCACCCTTTACCAAAAGACAATCGTATATTTGTACGAGATCATCGGGTGATCAAAGCGATCGCCCAATAAATAAATAGTTGATTTGCTTCGTAAATAAATACTGAAAAGTTACGCCGGATAGTTTGACAAGAATTCGGTAGGGTACACGGGCAACTAAGGAGAACTAAATAGATTTGCTTTTCAGTACGGAATTCCTTTTTTGGGTAATTCGTTTGAGAATCCTTGTCGTTTTTTGAAAATTTTTGTCGTCGTAAATTTATCAATTAAAAGAAGGCTACAGTAACCGTTCAGCATCAGACGGGCTGTATGCTTGTTTGACACCTTCATGGTATAAAAAAGTATATAAAATAGTATAAATAAATAAAATATTTAACGGTAATATCATAAAAAATTATATACAAAATGAACAGATTTCATGTTTTATTTTTTAAAGCTTTAACTTTTATTCATTTTACAATAAAACAGTAAATTTTGATGCTAATCATGTTAAATTTGGTTGCACCAAAAGCATCTTAAATATTGTAAATTTGAGTATGTGTTTTTTTATAAATTTAGAATGGCAAACAAGTTGACGGTCTACCTGATGGAAAGTGGTAACCGTCGCCTGTAGACATAAGCAGTACCATGAACATAAGAGAGTATACTGTTTCGTCCATGATACTCCCCATGCGTTGCCATTCCTGAGGACTCAGGTGATATTCCTCTGTACCCTATATTACCCTATATGTAAATTCACGCCATATCCCAACAAAATAACTAAACACATAAAATACTTCGAATAAAATATCGAGAGCGCCATCTAGTCGAGGGTAGTAAAACTACGAGAGGCTTCCCGCCCTAAATAAAGCATTCATTCACCGTTACTCACAAGGCTAGCCTACGAAAAGCAACCAAATGGTTCGTTTCTAAGCCAATATTCGGCAAACACGACATTTCCATACTTCTAAGAATAAGTAAACGAATAAGATTTTACTATCATGTTTCTTTATACTACTATTATATTTATTATTTTATCGCTTTAAAGAAAAATATAAACAGAATCATTTTATGATATTAATTATTAATAAAACTGTTTCTTAAAATAATTATTACATAATTTGATAAGTAATAACACAATTCTTACTTTTAATGTGACAATGCCATCTAAGTGACATAGCAACATAAATGTCTTAAATACTTATTATGCTTATACAAGTCACAAGTGGCGCCACTAATAAAGAAATTGTACAGAAATAATGAAGTAAGGAGTCGATTCTAAGGAGCTATTTCTTTAAATTTACCTCTAAAATTTTAATAATGAAATCTTTATTGTAAGGACTAATATGGACTAATTTTCTAATTAATTTACATCAAAATTTTAAAGTAAAATAGTAGTTTAAGTGATAAATTTAGATAAATGACACCTCAGAATCGGTTTCAAAATTAAATATGAATTGCTTGTATATTTTATTTAAATTGATTTTTATATTGGTAATATAATGGTAGTACTTAAATTGTGATAACTTATTTCATTTTCGATAATATAAAATAATTTTTAAGTTAAAATTTGTTGTACCTATATACAATTACATTTCTCCGAGCATTGAAATAGTAGTCATACTGCCTTTTTAAAGGAAAATTTCACCACAAACCTTGGCACAAAACATTTTTCTCAAAAAATAAACCCCTTTCAAAAAAATATTACTAGGAGAATTTGATGAATAATTTTGATTTTACTATATCTAATCTATATCTGGACGACTAAAAGTGTGCTGCATTCATTACCAAACTACGCCTGGTGAATGTAGTAACTTTAACAGCTAATAAGATTTTTTAGCAACACGGGCTAATCATAAATATTATATTGAAAAATTTCACTTCGCGATTGCTTAATCGTCATGATTCGAATCCTCATTATCGTCTTATCCGGATGAAGTGCTTTCTCTGTTATACCATGAAAGGAATTATTAAATGAAAATTTTACGTAATAATGTAATTTACACGTGTAATTGTGAAATCAACCTGGACTAAACTGAATATTCATGAAAATTTAATATTCAGATATTTAAAAATTAATCCTTCACTCTTTTGTCCGAGCTAAAATAATCTTTGTTATAATTAAAGTAAATAACATTATAAAGAGATGAAAAAATAGTGTTACTAATATCTAGAGATACGATTGAATGTAAATAAGATGTAATAAATACTTATTTATATTCGTATGTGATATCACCTACGAATTTCTTTATGAACTATTCGCTTCGATAAATCAATAAGGAACAATTAAAAAAAGAATACTTTTATGTCATAATTAAACGCTAAAGTTCACTCGAATTAATATTAAAAGATAAATATGCGTATGTTTACTCCACGGAGCAAGATAGGCCAACGTATTGTTCTAAAATTTACTCCAATCAGTGCTTTAAGGTCGTGCTTTATCGTTTGTTCATTAATGCTTTATCATTTATCAATTAATTCATTAATATCGTGGATTAGGATTATAAATAAATTAAAATAATATTATTGGCACAAGATTATTTGTTTTAGGGTATCATCATCATCACCATCACTTTAGTCGTTAACTGTTCACTGCTGAACATAAGCCTTCCCCATAAGGGGGGTTTTGCCAGTAGTTGCCACGCTCGGCAGGCGGGTTGGCAACCACAGTTAGGCTTTTAGAGATGATTTAAGGGGGACGCTGCTGCCCATCCCTCTACTATTAAGTTCCCTTAGTCGCCTCTTACGACGCTCACAGGGAAAGAAGGGGTGGTCTATTCTGCCGAGGGCCACACGGTGTTTTAGGGCTTATTATAAATTAATAGCATAAAGGTAAAATAAGCATTCGTATATCTTGATAAAAATATTTATTTAGTAGTCATTGGTATCTCCATGGGAGTCCCACAATAGAATTTTATTTATTAAAAAGACTATGTAGTTTATTCCTAGGTAAGTTTTTTTATTTATAAGTGGATGCCAGTACATATGAAGTAATAATTTTAGTTATTAATAGATCTTACTTTGTATGTGTATGTGGTTTATAACACAGATAATACGTTTTACAGCTGTTACAAATGTCAATGACCTTAGTCCAGCTTACAAATACACTGACCTTGATACAGGGTCCAGGTGGATGACCAGCGGGGGGACTGCGCGGCGCATTTGGCAACTGTAGGAGGTGACGAATGCTGTACCCCTGACGGGACTTCCTTGACATTCTGCAAAACATAAAAATCATTTAAACACAAACATTTAGTCGAATTTCTTTAACTCCATAATATGTGTTTGAAGAAATATATGATATAAGTTTGTGCAAAAAACTACCTTTCGAAGACATGTAAGTAGTTAATTATGTAAATAGGTGAAATAGATAGAGAAATATTTATTTATTAATTCTTTATTGACCACATTGCAAAAAATGTTTACTACATACATACATCAAACAGTCTCATAAGAATATCATAATGAATATGTTCACGGCTATAATCTGTAATGGGGTAGTTAGAGATAGTCAACTGTTCGTTACGGGGAACGTAACATTCGATATGAGTACATTTTTATGAGTGTATTAGAATCCAACATGCCAGGGGGCTAACCTATCGTCGTTACTCAGATTCATTAGAAAAATAAAACATTTATAATCATCTTCCTACCCTTATCCCGATTATTGTTTGGGGCCGGCGTAATATAAAGAGAAAAGAAAAATAAAACATGAGTAAATATTGAAACGATATAAATAAAGACAATAATTAAGAAGCACAAGCAAGCTGTGGTGGCAAACTGATAACCGATAAGGAATAAAGATTCTTAAGTGGCAACCCAGTAGGGGCAAACGCATTGAGAGATGGCACCCCACTAGATGTAGTAATAATCTCTAATGTTGTGCAAGGAGTCAGTGGATGCATGTGCTGATGGACCGTTCCTTATAACAGTCTATGGGGAAGGCCTATGTTCAACAGTGGACAGATAACAGCTGATATAATGATGATGAAATAAATAAAATAATAAGATATAAATGAGAGAATAAAGTACAAGACTGACGACACTAGAACATATAAGAGGCTATAGAAGAAATCCTAAAATAAAACCTTTTTTATCAATACGACTAGGCAGCGTAGTGACACTTTCACTTCTTCTTTCGCGTAATTTCTCGTAAGTTTTTCTAGTAGGAGTTTTGTCCATCAGGGACGAAGTATTGAAATTACATTCCCCTCCTCACACAAATAAAGGACGCTCAGTTATATAATTTACTGAATTAATTATTATGTTTAATACAAGTGAGTTAAAGTGATTTCAATCGTGACCTATTTAAACAATAATACGGGTCTTTAGAAAGAAGAGACCTTGCCTAACTGGATGTAAATAATTGGATCCCAAACGAAAATATTATAGTAACATTTACCTTAATTTATATTCATTAAATACATTAGCGGAATAAACTTCGATATTGTGTTTGATTTGATACGAAAATGAACTTTACGTCGATGAATTAAGTCTTGTTTTAGAATGACGTATTATAGTTGATCTACGGGCTCTGAAGTCAACGTTAGAAGCTGTTGAAAGAAATTAAAATTTAATAGCTTGCAATAGAATTCGTATAGATCTCCTTGAAGTTTTTAGTATTCTTTGTACATTTCGTTTTTAATCTGGAATTTCAAATTTACATATTTGTAAATTTAATAAATCAAAGTTTAAGACTAACAATAATATTGTTTTCTCTTAAAGTCAAATAATTTACAAGTTTTATCGAAAAATAGGTATATAAAACATACGAGACATAATATAAAAGGTTTTGCTTGACTACTTTGCTGTTTAAGTAAGCTTCCGGTATTCGTATTAAGTTCATCATACATACAGATATATTTATACAGCACATTAAATTGAAACATAAATAAATTTAAACGTTTAGACTTTTATGCTGCATATTTTACGGTTTAAATAAAAAGGGGAATTAACGCGATTATTTAGGCAAACTATGATATCTACTTTACGACTAGGTTATGCTAATGTCGGGTTAATTCTGGTAAATTGTCACAGTTTACTTAAATGATTTAACGCGATAATTTTTCATCATTGCATGTTTTTTATTAACAATAAAATAAATGTTAAATAGAAAATGATAAACATATTTAAAACAGTAATTTTTATCACCTATGTAATACTTAAAATTTAAAAAATAAGGCGTTATATCATATATCAGTAGAGAGAGACTGTACAAAAGTTCTTTGCTTCGGTACCTCTGTCCCATTCATATTTCAACCGTAAAGCAGTTGTGTTTGCGTTTGGCTGTTTCGGTTTGAAGGGTATGGCAGTGAACTTATAGGGTACAGAGGCATAACACCTTAATTCTCAGGACTTGCAACGTATGGGGGTATCATAAGTGAAACAGTATACTCTGTTATGTCCATGGTACTGATCATGTCTATAGGCGACGGTTACCGCTTTCCATCAACTGGGCCGTCAGCTTGTTTGCCATTCTAAGTTGCAGAATAAAATATAAAATGATACCGAATTGGCGAAGATATTAAGCAACATACAGAAAATAATAATAGATTATTTAATAATTAAATTAATTTTTTTAAGGTGTCCGGTGGAAAGTATGTATAAAAAATTTACAATATATTGAGAATCTTTTCTTTTTAAAGTCGGTTGCTAATTATAGGGAAAACCGAAAACAAAGCCAAGTAGACAAGAGGATGTCATGACCTGGAACAGATTTAACAATGCTTTGGATGTATGTCCAGATCAGTGGACTGTGATGATCGGGATGTACCCACACACCTTGGAATGCCGATTATTCTTTATGCTGGATCGATAACAAATACCTAAAACATAAGAATAAATAGTCTTCTTCTACACAGAACCTATTGACAATCATATACTATCATTTTTGATGCAGCAATCTCGTTAAAATATATCCTTTTTTCTTACAGACCATGCGTAGATCGGAAGGGTCGTCACAAACTTTTGCACAAGCATTTGTTTATAATTTAATGAATGTGTGGCGACTCAATTGACACAAGTATGAGTGAGTGCGATATCTATCGGTAGCAAGCCCTGATTTAATGAACGGAACATGAACGCGAGCCGTCAGTGTGCCATTCAAAATTTCATTATAGATTTCATAAAAGTATCAAATACATGCATCAGAATCGGTGCTAAAAACTGATTCGTATAAATTACAGAAATTAGCCGATTAACTCTAAAAACATCCATCGAGTAAATGCCAATATGAAAGTGCTTCAATGATTTAAAATCAATAGACATGATGATAATATGCTTCCGCTTAACATTGTCTTGTCTGTCTTGAGTTTAGAGTCAATAACTAACTCAATATTAATCTGTTCCAATGTCATTTTTTTCTCTTTCTAATATTAGGTTTTCAAAAAGATGGAACAACGATTTTAGGCTGTAATCATGATAAATGGGATATCGATTAAAGTTGTTATTAAGAGCTAAGATCTTATCGAAATTTAGCGACATCATCTCATCATAAGAAACGTTCACAAATAGAGCATATTCAATTCCAACTGATGTATTGAACAAATTATGTTCTTATATAATAAATCCTTACCCACACATGTAGATATAATAAATGTAGATACGCACACATACATTGTGAGAAACGAATCAAAACAAGATGAAGGTCGCATTTAATAAGCATGTTGTATCGGAAGTATTTACTGTCAAAGGGGACTGGAAGTTATGGATGTGGTTATTAGAACTTTCACAAATAAGTTGACAAGGGTAGATTAAGTATCAATTTCAAATATAGACCTACTCCATGCCATAATAGCATGGTTGATTCGTGTCGTTAATAAATCAATATTATTAAAATTGATGAACACATTTGCATTTATAACTATTATTTAAATATGAAATTATCCAGTAATTTAAAAAGAAATCGAAGCGGTCAGGGTTTGAACTCGCTCTACTAGAGCTAATAATAAAAAAATATTGTCAGTTAAAAAAATGCCAAGTCTCAAATAACAAATTTAACAATATTGTAATAATTAGCAAATTTTTTTTGTTTTTTTTTTTATACAGCTTAGAATGGCAAACAAGCTGACGGCCCACCTGATGTAAAGTAGTAACCGTCGCCTATAGATATGAGCAGTACCATGGACATAACAGAGTATAATATATAAAATACAAAGTCTCCCTCTGGTAATTACCAAGTTACTGAAATTATCAAGTAACTAAATTAATGATATAACATTGTGTTTATTTTAACTATCTACACCTAGATGATTAAGAAGACCTAAACAGGTGTCACATGGAATCCATCTCCGTGGTTCTAATTTTAAATTATCACCTTAACTATAACAATATCATTAATGTACAATAATTACAACTAAGTAGTATCTTGTATATCTAAAATAATTATTTCTATTATTTTTGATGTAATGATTATTATTTATTATGCTTAGTTATATTACACACACAAGTTTCCCCTGACTCTTTTAAACATGTTAAAGAAGTACAAGTATATGTATGAAATAGCGTTCTAATAGTTGTTTTATGACTTGTATAAACTGTGGTAACTTGGTTATTATACAACACAAAAACTAGTAATAGGTAGGGAGTTATTATTTAATATACTTATATAGGTATATACAGCTTAGTTCCATTTGTATGAAGTTTTTGCAACTATATTGACATAATTTGTAACAGCCATAAATTTAGAATGGTTATAGAGAGGTATATATACAATGTATTTTTTTTTCTACAATAGATCTAAGCATATAACGCTACAAATAATTTAAATGTAGAAGTTTTATAAAGTTATATTTGATATAAGCATTTTATGTCCTGATCTTTTATGTTACTTCGATAACATACAATATACTAAGCGTATTGAATAAAGCGTCTTTAAAAATAGAAAAATTTAAGTGCAGATTTATAAAATAAATACGTATAAGAGCTGCTGCATCGAAATAGAGAATCATACTCTTTTATTGTTTCATATTGTGGTACAAATTTTCGTCTTTCTTTTTGTTACAGGTAATTTATATTTATATTTTTTGTCTATATGTTAAATATATATGTCCTTCTTGTTTCTCTCTCTGATCTGATCCTTCTATATATATTAGTCTTGCTTATTATTTTGGTGATCTCATCAAACCATTCCATGGATTGCCTTCCGAATTTCTTTGGACTAAACTTCGCCTTTAACATGAAATATTTTATTTTGGTCTCCTTTGTTTAATTTTCTACA